ATAGAGGGTCATGCCTATTTCAATCTAGAGCCCCATAGATTTTTTGAGGCAAGGATCAGAGATTAGCCCAACAGCCCTCCATATTGATTTGTCATTGCTCTCTTTCCTTTATTTTTTGGGCCCTTAGAATAATAAAGTTGATATAATTTTTGGCCCAAAATTTGTTGCTTACCTTTATCCTTTGGGGCTTTCACGGATTGGGCTGGGTTGTTGACCGGGTCTGTATTTTTTTGACCATTTATTTGAATTAAAGTTGTTCAAACCCAAATGTAGTGGCTTAGGTTTGACAGGTTGGACATCTGTATACTTCGTTTGGCTCGAGGAAGCTACTGTACTTGACTTCATTTTCTTCGTCTCCACTCCGACTCTCTCTACTTGACTCTCTCTATTCCACCGACGGTGACAATTTTTATGAGATTGTCATCAAATATCATTATTTTGTACTTCAACTTCCCAACTTCCAGTATCAAATTGTTGGGTAAACCACCTTCCTTAAATTTAACAGAAATTCTAGCCCAGAATAGGTGTGTCTTAGGCTTCGTGTCTTCATCAGTGTCAATGAAACCGCCACAGTTATCCCTAATAAACCCAAAAGGTATTTGTGTTCCATGCATGCAATGGAATACCGAATCCTTTATCCATTTTTGCTCAGATTTGCTGTTTGTGAAGCTGCACCATTTTTCGGCGACCACCATGGAAGCGTGAGATGCCTGCCATTCCAGAACCACTCACTAGCTATGATTCGCACCACATCAAGCCTTAATGGGAACTCAAAGAGAAATTTATCGTGGTCTAAGGGCGTAACAATGAGCACTGAAGTGTTCTTCCGCCTCTAAAGGAACCATATTTTGATAACTTCTGTGTTGGGGATGAGATTAAAGGGGTCGTGTTCAATCAAGTGCTATTGACAGCTGTGTACAGCTAATTATATATAATAAATTAGTAGCGTGATTAGTAGGTAGTTAGAAGGTTAAGTAGTTGGAATAGTATAAAGTGTACGGTAGCTTCCATTTGCTAGTTGAGAATATACAGTAATAAAGCATAACTGCTCATTTGCTCGCCTCTGCTTCTTCTTCATCTTAGCTTCCATCGCCATAGCTAAGAGTAGAGTCTAGATTTCATCATGGTATCAGAGCTCGAGTTAATGATCTATATCACTTGATTTCAACTCTAGATTCATCATCCTTAATTTTCTCTGTTAATTACTCATTCGAATTGAGAAATTGCTTCGATTCCCAAAATTTAGGGTTAGATCGATTTTGAGCAATTGGTATCTGTTGTGTATAACGTTTGTGTGAGCTAGATTTCTGTTGATAATGGCGATTACTGACGAGGACAATGGATCGACTCAGGAAGCTGTAGCTGTAGCACCAGTGATTGATCAGCATCATCCGTTGTTTCTGCAACCGAGTGACACTCTAGGTAGTTCTCTCATCTCTATCAAGCTCACAGGACCTAAGAATTACACTTTGTGGAGCAGTACTATGCGAGTTAGTCTATTAGGAAAAAGTGAGCTAGGGTTTGTAGATGGAAGGTATCCAAAAGAGAAGTTTCCTCCTGTTCTTCATGAACTTTGGGGAAAATGTAATGCTATAGTCCTATCGTGGATTATGAATTCTGTGAGTGCTGAATTGTTGAGTGGCATGGTCTATGCTTCGAGTGCTCACAAAGTGTGGATGGACCTCAAAGAGACATTTGATAAAGTTAATGGTTCTAGAGTGTTATATATGCATAAACAAATTGCAACTCTAGCTCAAGGATTTTCATCTGTGTCTGCTTATTTCTCAAATTGTAGGCAGAGTTTGATGCTCTTATGCCTTGCCCTGGGTGTGGTTGTTAAGAGACGAAGAAATATGTTGAGCATTTTAAGTACCAAAGGCTATTATAGTTTCTCATGGGTCTAAATGAGACATACTCTCAGTCAAGCAATCAGATCTTGAACATGTCTCCTAGACCTTCCACTAACAAAGCTTACTCAATGATTATTTCTGAAGAACGCAAAACAGCACTATCCCAATCTTCTCAAGTTTCTGAAGTTAATGAAGGTACATCCTTGTTCAGTAATAAAGGAACATCATCTTGAGCTCCAGTTCAGTTGAACGCAAAAGGAAACCTTGGGCAAAATCACAACTTCTTGGTTAATGAGGTGACGGCTTTGTTTAGTAGCAAAGGGAATGCAGGCGCTAGCTATGGTCATTCTGGAGGTGGTAACCACTCAGTTTCTAGCTACAGACCCAGGCAAAACAATCTACATTGTGACTATTGCAACTTCAAAGGTCACTCTAGGTAAACTTGTTACAAAATGAATGGATATCCATTAGATTTTAAGTCAAAAAAGAAGGGTGGATTTTGGTAATACAGTTAACTATGCTTAGACCAGTGTTGGCAACTATATGACTTATGCTCCCACTGGCCCCGCATAAGCAGAATCTACTGCTAACTTTGCAAGAGTCTCACAAGTGCAACAAGCAAGTCAGAACTTCCAAGCTAGAATCCCTCAATTCACTCAAGAGCAGTACAACTAGATGCTTTAACTTCTAGGCAAGCAACCTAAGTGCAGTGGTTCTGCTATGGCAGTAAGTATGCCATTATGTGGTGATGTTACTAAAATTCTAGCTAAATGAATTGTAAATTCAAGGGCTTCAAGTCACATGGTGAATGATTCTAGCTTGTTGATTACTGCTAAAGTTGTTGGTAATAAAGGTGGAAAAGTTCACTTACCTACTGGTAGCGTAGCTCATGTTAGTCACATAGGGTCTATTGCCATTCTTAAAGACCTAATAGTGTCTAATGTGATGCATATTCCTGACTTCAAGTATAACATTTTATCTGTGTCCAAGCTCAGAAAGGAAATGAGATGGGTTGTTATGTTCTTCCCTGATTTTTTTTTTATTTTTTAGGAGCTCTTCAGTGGACAGGTGAGGGAGATTGGTAGAGAAGAAGATGGACTGTATGTGTTCAACTCTACTTCAAAGAAGTCAATAGCACTACAAACTCAAAGTCAAAGTCCAGTTGCAGAAACCATGAATGCTTCATGGCCAATACACACTGTAAATATAATAAAGGCCCTTAATAAGGTAGTGAATATAGCTTTGTGGCATAAGAGATTGGGTCATGCCTCTCTAGATACTTTGCAGAAACTGAATGATTTTCATGATTTTCAAGCTGTTTAATGTAGTAGTAAAGATAAGCATTGTACAGCCCTTTAGCTAAAGAGACAAGACTACCTTTTCCTCTTAGTCCTACATTGTCTAAATCCTGCTTTTATACAATTCATGATGATGTTTGGGGTCCTTATAGAGTCCCTACTTATGATGGAAAGACTTATTTCTTGACCTTGGTGGATGACTGTTCTAGGTATACATGGCTCTTCCTTTTACCTACTAAAGTTGAGGTTGTTGTTGCTCTTAGATCTTTCTTTACTATGATTAAGAATGTCTACTCAACCTCTATTAAGTTTTTTAGATCTGATAATGGGTGTGAGTTCTTTAATTCCCATATGTCAGAGTTGTTACAATCTCTGGGAATTATACATCAAAGCTCATGCATCTACACTCCACAGTTGCTGAACGAAGACACATGTATATTTTGGAGGTTGCTCGAGCACTCAGATTTCAGGCTTCAGTACCATTAAGGTTTTGGGGGGGGGGGGGGAATGTGTTAGTACTGCTGTATACATCATCAACAGACTCCCTTCAACTGTCCTTCACAAAAAGTCTCCTTTTGAGATCATGTTTGGACATTCACCTTCTTTACAGCACATGAGAGTCTTTGGATGCTTGGATATGTGACTACAATTAGAAGAACTGATAAATTTGCTCCCAAAGCATATCCTACGGTCTTTCTTGTTTACTCTGCTACACAGAAGGGATATAGGATGTTTGAGCTTCATATAAAAGAATTTCATATCAGCAAGGATGTAGTGTTTAAGGATGATGTCTTTCCTTTTCAGCACATGAGTTCTACCATCTCAACCTTATTTCCTATTTTAGATCTCCCTACCGTTTCATCAATTGATCCTACAGATGTTTCTTAGTCTGTGCATGCTCAGTCACCACCTTCCTCTTTTCCTGTCTCTCCTGCCTCTCCTGGTTCAGCTGGCCCTTCTGTTCCTCTTTCACCTACTGGTGGTCTTACTGATCATGCCACAGTCAATGATGTCCCTATCATAGCTCCTAGTGCCGAGTCACAGGATGACACCAGAAAGTCCATTAGGGTGAGCAGACCACCCATATGGATAAAAGACTACATTGTTCCTAACAAAGGGAGTGCACACTGCTGTTATCCTATATCAGACTATGTCAGCTATGCCAATGTGTCATCTTCCTTTGGAGATGCATTACCTACTTACTCAATTATTGTGGAACTTAAACTTACAATGAGGCAGTCAAAGACGCAAAGTGGATTGAGGCAATGAAGTGTGAGATATCAGCTTTGGAGGACAATCACACCTGGACAGTGGTGGATCTCCCTCATGGGAAAGTTCATATTGGATGTAAATGGGTGTTCAAGGTCAAATATATCTCCTTAGGTGCAGTAGAAAGGTACATGGCTAGGCTTGTAGCAAAAGGATATAGCCACCAGAAGGGATTGGACTACACTGAGACCTTCTCTCCTATAGCCAAAATGGTTACAGTCAGGTCAGTTCTAGCCATTGTTGCAGCTAAGCATTGGGCCATCTTTCAAATGGATGTACACAATGCTTTTCTACAAGGAGACTTACTTGAAGAAGTTTACATGGAGATTCCTCCAGGGTTTGCTAGCAAGGGGGAAGCATAGTGTCTGCAAACTTCATAAGTCCCTATATGAACTTAAGCAAGCTCCTAGGCAATGGAATGAGAAGCTAATAGATGCTTTACTACAGCTTGGATTCATTCAAAGTCACTTTGACTACTCATTATTCACTAGGAGAGTGGAGTCTGAGTTAATAGTGGTGCTTGTCTATGTGGATGACTTGCTTGTAACTGGAAGTAGCCAAAGGTTGATTCTTCAGACCAGAAATGATTAAACTGAAGTTCAAAATGAAAGACTTAGCTGAACTCAAATTCTTCCTTGGAATTGAGTTTGCTAGATCATCTAAGGCAATTGTGATGAGTCAAAGGAAGTATGCTTTGGAACTCATTGTAGAGATGGGGCTTAGTGGTGCAAAACCAGCTGGTACACCTTTGGAAGCAAATGTAAAACTCACATCTGAAGAATATGACAGGTTTATTCATGGTCAGTCTTCTTCTGAAACAGAAGACAAGTTACTAGCTGATGCTGGAAAATACCAAAGACTGATAGGCAGATTACTCTACCTTACTATGACTAGAGTTGACATTGCTTATGTAGTGCAAATTCTGAGCCAATACATGCACAAACCAAAGCATTCACACATAGAAGCTGCATTGCGAGTGGTAAGGTATATCAAAGGTTCTCAAGGTCTTGTTCTTCAAATACCATCTGTAGACTCAGGAAAACTGGAAGGTTTTTGTGACTCGAATTGGGGAGGCTGTACAGACCAGAAGATCAGTTGCAGGTTACTTGGTGAAGTTTGGGGATTGACACGACCCGTCGTGATAGCGCTTATCGATGATACTAGGCCAGGCGACATTACCAAAGCGATTTCAACAATAACCAAAAATAATCAAAACTCTTAAAATTAGTGAAATCTTTGCCATAAAACAGGGTGAACCCCAAAACATAAGTGCGGAAATAAAGCCCGACATCGGGGTCACAAGTCATAAGCATCTAACATAGCCGACCCAAAAGTAACAAGACCTAACATAGTCTGGAATCCAAAATACAGAAAATAAGGATAGATAGGGAAGAAGAAAGCAAGGTTGCGAACGCCGGCAGCTACCTCGCGATCTCCAATGACCAGCTACGAGTACTATCAACAACCTCCGCGTCCAACAGCTCCTGGATCCGCACACGAGGTGCGTGGAGTAACGTGAGTATGCCAACTCAGTAAGTAACAATAATAAATAAGGAACTGAAGATAGTGACGAGCTACACAGTTTTAGTTCATTTCAATAATTTCATAAAGGAAAATAGTCATTCTTCCCAAGTTCCGATAATTCAAGTCAAGTCAGTTTATTTCAGGCAAGTTCAAGTAAAACTAGATAAGAATATCTTTCAACAGTTTTCAAAATATGGATATATGGCAATTGTGTGCATCAATAATGTAATCATATAATGCCTCTCAGGCAATCATCTCTCAGTCCTCCCAATCACTCCAATCTCACAATCACTCATTCCTCCCACTCACTCATTCCTCACAATCACTCACCACTCGGCACTCAGTAGGTACCTGCGCTCACTAGGGGTGTGCAAACTCCGGAGGGGCTCCTTAAGCCCAAACGCTATAACAAGTCAATCATGGCATAAATCAATCAGGGCCCCGGCCTCACTCAGTCATAAATGAATAAAACATGCTGCAACGTGCAGCTCGATCCCATAAATATCCTCACAATCAGGCCCTCGGTCTCACTCAATCATCAATCTCTCCAGTCTCTCGGGCTCTCAGATATCAGGAAAAATTGGCCCAAACAGCAACAACATGAAGTATCAGATAGAATAACAGAGACTAAGATATGATATGTGAGTAAAAATTGTGACTGAGTACGAATAACATTTCACAGGCAATTCAACATGTAACGCGGCTCCTACGGGACCCAACAGTGCCAACATATAGCCTAAACAGGATTTCTAACATGGTTTACAATCAATCTTTCATAACACATAGAAAGCAAATAGCTAACAACATGTTGTTCAACTTTACAGTCCTACGAGACGGACCAAGTCTCAATCCCCTCAGTGCACGCCCACACGCCCATCACCTAGCATGTGCGTCACCTCCAAAATAGTCACAAGATACAATGTCTGGGGTTTCATACCTTCAGGACCAGATTTACAACTGCTACTTACCTCAACCCGAGCAAAATCCTACTCCGTGATGCCTTTTGCCTCTCAAATCGGCCTCCAAACGTCCTGAATCTAGCCAAAAGTAATCAACACAATCAATATATGCCAAAAGAACTAATTCCACAAGAAAACTACTAAATTGGGCTCAAATCCCGAAATTAGCTCAAACCCGGTCCCCGGGCCCACATCTCGAAGTCCAACAAAAGTCACAAAACTAGAAAGCCCATTCACTCACGAGTCTACCCATACCAATTTCATCAAAGTCCGACATCATTTGGTCCCTCGAATCCCCAAATTACTCTCCCCAATATCCCAAGCCCTAACCCCTTATTTCACTTCAAAAATCCTACTAATTAGGTGGGAAATGAACGGGAAAACACCATAGCTAATGATAATAAAGCTCAAGCAACTTACCTCCGTGAAAACCATTGAATCCCCTTCAAAAATCACCCCAAAAGCTCCAAGGTCCGACTTAAAACGATGGAAATGAGCAAAAATTCGTGAAGTATTCTATTTATAGGTTCTGCCCAGGCTTTTCGCACCTGCGGCTCAATATGCGCACCTGTGGTGCCGCTTTTACGCAAAAATCTCTGCATCTGCAGAAAACCACTTAAATCCCCATCTCCGCACCTGCGCTCTCTACCCGCTTCTGTGACATCGCAGGTGCAGAAAAGACCTCGAACCTACGGCCACTGCCAGACCTTCCCTCTTCCGCTTCTGCGGGCAACTACCCGCTTCTGCGGGCTCGCAGATGCGTACGACCAGTCGCACCTGTGGTCTTCCCTAATCCAACACAGTTCCGCACTTGCGTCCATCCCACCGCACCAGCGGCGTCGCACCTGTGGAAATACCCTCGCAGGTGCGATTACACCAGCAACAGGCCAACTTCAGCAATTCTCCAAACTTCAAACTTGAACCGTTAACCACCCAAAACACACCTGAGGCCCCCGGAACCTCAACCAAACATGCCAACAAGCCATATAACCCCATACGAACTTAGTCGAAATTTCGAATCACTCAAAACAACATCAAAACAGCAAATTACCCTCGGATTCAAGCCTAAGAACTTCTAAACTTCCAAATTCCGCAAACGACACCGAAACCTATCAAATCACGTCTGAATGAGCTCAAATTTCGCACACACGTCAGAAATGACACCACAAACCTACTCCAATATCCGGAATTTCAGTCCGACCCCGATACCAAAGTTTCCACTTCCGACCAAAATCGCCAAAATTCTAACTTTCGCCAATTCAATCCTAATTCTACCACGGGCCTCCAAATCACATTCTGAACGTGCTCCCAATTCCAAAATCACCTAACGGAGCTAACGGAACAGTCAAAATTCAAACCCGTGATCGTTTACCCATAAGTCAACATCCGGTCAACTTTCCCATCTTAAACTTTGTCTTAAGAGACTAAGTATCTCAATATACTCCAAAACCACTCCGGACCCGAACCAACTAACCCGGTAAGACATAATACAGCTGAAGAACACAAATGAAACAGAAAAAATGGGGAACGGGGCTGTAACTCACGAATCGACCGGCCGGGTCGTTACATCTTCCCCCTCTTAAACAAACGTTCGTCCTCGAACGGGTCTAGAAACATACCTGGAGCCTCGAATATGTGTGGATATCTGCTCCGCATCTCCAGCTTGGTCTCCCAAGTAGCCTCCTCCATGGGCTAACCACTCCACTACACTTTCACTGAAGCTATATCCTTTGATCTCAACTTTCGGACATGCCACTCAAAAATAGCCTCTGGCTCCACATCATAAGCCAAATCACCATCTAACTGAACCGTGCTGAAATCCAAGACATGAGATGGATCGCCGATATATTTCCGGAGCATAGAAACTTGAAATACTGGATGCACACCTGACAATCTAGGTGGTAAGGCAAGCTCATATGCCACCTCCCCAATCCTCCGAAGTACCTCTCATAACACCCTTCATGAGTGAAACCTTCAGCAAGACCTTCTCCCCAACCATGTAGGACACATCACGAACCTTTCTGTCAGCATAACTCTTCTGTCTTGACTGCGCCGTACGAAGCCGCTCCTGAATCAACTTCACCTTGTCCAATGCATCCGGAACCAAGTTTGTACCCAAAAGTCTAGCCTCACATGGCTCAAACCAACCCATTTGGGATCCACACTGCATCCTATATAAAGCCTCTTACGGAGCCATCTGAATGCTCAACTAGTAACTGTTGTTGTAGGAAAACTTCGCGCGTGGTAGAAAATGGTCCTATGAACCCCCAAAATCAATGACACAAGCGCGTAACATGTCCTCCAGAATTTGAATAGTGCGCTCGGACTGCCCATCCGTCTGCGAATGAAATGCTATGCTCAACTCAACCTGAGTGCCCAACTCTCGCTGCACGACTCTTCAAAACTGCAATGTAAACTGCGTGCCTCTATCTGAAATGATGGAAACTGGCACACCGTGAAGGAGAATAATCTCTCTAATATAAATCTCTGCCAGCCGGTCTGAAGAATAGGTAGTACACACAGGAATGAAGTGCGCAGACTTGGTTAGCCGATCCACAATCACCCAAATAGCATCGAACTTCCTCGAAGTCCGTCGGAGCCTAACTATGAAATATATGGTGATCCGCTCCCACTTTTACTTTGGAATCTCTATTTGCTGAAGCAAGCCATTCGGCCTCTGATGCTCATATTTCACCTGCTGACAGTGGAGACACCGAGCTACAAACCCAACTATATCATTCTTCATTCTCCTCCACCAATAGTGTTGTCTCAAATCCTGATACATCTTCGCGGCACCCGAATGGATGGAATACCGCGAAATATGGGCCTCCTCTAGAATCAACTCTCATAGCCCATCCATATTGGGCACACATATCCCGCCATGCATCCTCATTACCCCGTCATCACCAATAGTCATATATCTGGCATCATCATGCAGAACCTTGTCCTTGAGGACAAGCAAATGAGGATCATCATACTGGCGCTCTCTGATACGACCAAACAAGGAAGACTGAGAAACCACATAAGCTAAGACCCGACTAGGCTCCGAAATATCCAATCTCACAAACCGATTGGCCAAGTCCTGAACAATCAAGTGCAAGGGGTCTCTCACCAATAGGAAGGAATGCAAGACTACCCATACTCACTACCTTTCTACTCAAGGCATTGGTCACCACATTGGCTTTTCCCGGATGGTACAAAATAGTAATATCATAGTCCTTTAGCAGCTCCAACCATCTCCTCTGCCTCTAATTGAGATCCTTCTGTTTGAACAAGTGCTGGTGGCTACGATGATCAGTAAACACCTTAAAAGACACACCATAAAGACAATGCCTCCAAATCTTCAACGCGTGAACAGTGGCAGCCAACTCCAAATCATAAACAGGGTAGTTCTTCTCATGGGGCTTCAACTAACGAGAAGCATAAGCAATCACTCTACCATCCTACATAAAAATACATCCAATACCGATCCGAGAAGCATCACAATATACTAATTACGAACCAGAAGCTGATGGCAGAACTAACACTGAAATTATGGTCAAGGCAGTCTTGAGCTTCTAAAAGCTCGACTCACACTCATCCGACCACCTGAAAGGAGTACCCTTTTGGGTCAATTTGGTCAAGGGTGATGCAATAGAAGAGAAACCCTACGCGAACCGATAGTAATAACCCACCAAACCAAGAAAGCAACAAATCTCTGTGGCTAAGGATGGTCTGGGCCAACTCTGGACTGCCTCTA